TTATAGCTTCGACTGTTGTTTCTAGTAACAGGTACGGTCATAAACAACATATAAATGCTCTTTTCATGACCTGCTCTGTATAAATAAGAAGATGAACCTTAGGCGTTCAAACAGCATACTGGTCTAGATTAAGACAAGTATTTATTTTACATTGTTATTATTGGTAATTGAATAGACATTTGTTTATCTTCGGCACATCGATTGGCAGTTTTGTCCTATAGATAACAGGACGTGCTGGTGGTGGCATTTTGACACCTCTACTCAACTCTTGAATGAAAATAGATTAAATTCTGAATTGTATGTATTTTTAAAAGTCTTGAGGGAATTGGAGATAGGAACCAGCAAATCTACATTTTTCCCTTGAGATTTCTCCTGCTTAATTGATTTACTTTGTGCACAATGACATGGCCATTCACGCTGCCATCTGATCAGCCTTTGTGAGCGGCACGTGCTGGGATCCTTGTCCTTCCATCTTTATGCTAATGCAACTTAGGAGCTTTGACACTGCTGAATTATTTCACTATAATATTATGTGTTTAGTCTGTGACAGGGTCTGGCCACATCAGTGACAGGACTGAAGGCAGGCTTTGACTGCAGGAGTTGCCGATAATAATTGACAAATGAATGAGTAAGAACTTATTGAAGACCCAATTGATTGTAAGACAAATCAGGATTAATGGGTGCCAATATGTAGTGTTAGCTCTTAAATGGTAGATTAGGATAAAAGGGGCTATTTACCTCTACTCAGCCTAATTAATAACATAATTAAGCTGTAATAATGAAAACAATTAGAGTCATTTTACTCTTGAGTTTTTTCCACACTCAAAGTCTCTTTATCTTGTTTTATTCGGTTACTCCACTCATGGTAGTGGTATGCTCCAAATGTAACCACAGCTGCCCTGGTGTAGACTGGTGGAAGCCAGGCTGCTGATCTGTGCCATTGGTCCCTGCAGTAATCATATAATACATGTAATCCCATAATACATGGGAATTTCCATTGTAGTGTTATCACAATGCAGAAGATAAGTGCTAAAAAAACCAGGATATAAACCAAAGTGGACTTTCTGTCTATGTGGTAGTTTATAAATGTCCTTTTCCCCATTCATTGGATTTGATTAGACTCTTTATTCTTGGTCTTATAATCGGACATTTGGTGTTTAGCTTCATATTTCCTGCTGAAAGTATACAGACTAGAGGAGGAAGTTTGTAGTGGATTTGATTAGACGGAAACAAGTCTCGATGAACTCTCCTTTTGACGCCACATGAGACTATTGTTGTCAAGTGCTGGCCCTGATCATTTGGTCAGTAATATTCCAGTTGCTATATCTTCTCATTACTCTTCTTCTTGACCTGCTGCTGGAAGTACAGACCATCAAATAAATCTCTCAATAACACTGCATACAATAAGCCCAATATAGTTACATGGAAATTAATGTGGCCATCACTGCATAAAAGCCTGATCCTCAGAAGACCTCAGAAGCAAAGCCATCACAGGTCTGGTTAGTACTGTGATGGGAGACCTTTGGAAACGCCAGGTGCCACAGTGAGGCGTCTGCGGCTGCAAAGGGGTGATTGTTGGGGCCGATGGTTCAAATTGGTACCTTAGCTTCTGTCACTCTACTCTGTCACGATACTAGTAAGAAGTAAGGAAGTATTCTTTATTTACAGTGGGTTGCGAAAGTATTTCAACATTTATAACCTTTCAACATTTCGCCACATTTCAGGCTTCAAACATAAAGATATAAAAATTTAATTTTTTGTCAAGAATCAACAACAAGTGGGACACAATCGTGAAGTGGAACGAAATTTATTGGATAATTTAAACTTTTTTAACAAATAAAAAACTGAAAAGTGGGGCGTGCAATATTATTCGGCCCCCTTGCGCTAATACTTTGTAGCGCTACCTTTTGCTGCAATTACAGCTGCAAGTCGCTTGGGGAATGTCTCTATCAGTTTTGCACATCGAGAGACTGGAATTCTTTCCCATTCCTCCTTGCAAAACAGCTGGAGCTCAATGAGGTTGGATGGAGAGCATTTGTGAACAGCAGTCTTCAGCTCTTTCCACAGATTCTCGATTGGATTCAGGTCTGGACTTTGACTTGGCCATTCTAACACCTGGATACGTCTATTTGTGAACCATTCCATTGTAGATTTGGCTTTATGTTTTGGATCATTGTCCTGTTGGAAGATAAATCTCCGTCCCGGTCTCAGGTCTTTTGCAGACTCCAGCAGGTTTTCTTCCAGAATGGTCCCGTATTTGGCTCCATCCATCTTCCCATCAATTTTAGCCATCTTCCCTGTCCCTGTCCCTGTTGCTGAAGAAAAGCAGGCCCAAACCATGATGCTGCCACTACCATGTTTGACAGTGGGGATGGTGTGTTCAGGGTGATGAGCTGTGTTGCTTTTACGCCAAACATATCGTTTTGCATTGTGGCCAAAAAGTTCGATTTTGGTTTCATCTGACCAGAGCACCTTCTTCCACATGTTTGGTGTGTCTCCCAGGTGGCTTGTGGCAGACTTTAAACAAGACTTTTTATGGATATCTTTGAGAAATGGCTTTCTTCTTGCCACTCTTCCATAAAGGCCAGATTTGTGCAGTGCACGACTGATTGTTGTCCGATGGACAGACTCTCCCACCTCAGCTGTAGTTATCTGCAGTTCATCCAGAGTGATCATGGGCCTCTTGTCTGCATCTCTGATCAGTCTTCTCCTTGTTTGAGATGAAAGTTTGGAGGGACGGCCGGGTCTTGGTAGATTTGCAGTGGTCTGATACTCCTTCCATTTCAATATAATTGCTTGCACAGTGCTCCTTGAGATGTTTAAAGCTTGGGAAATCTTTTTGTATCCAAATCCGGCTTTAAACTTCTCCACAACAGTATCTCGGACCTGCCTGGTGTGTTCCTTTGTCTTCATGGTTCTCTCTGCGCTTTAAACAGAACCCTGAGACTATCAAAGAGCAGGTGCATTTATACAGATACTTGATTACACACAGGTGCATTCTATTTATCATCATCAGTCATTTAGGACAACATTGGATCATTCAAAGATCCTCACTGAACTTCTGGAGTGAGTTTGCTGCACTGAAAGTAAAGGGGCCGAATAATATTGCACGCCCCACTTTTCAGTTTTTTATTTGTTAAAAAAGTTTAAATTATCCAATAAATTTTGTTCCACTTCATGATTGTGTCCCACTTGTTGTTGATTCATGACAAAAAATTTAAATATTACATCTTTATGTTTGAAGCCTGAAATGTGGCGAAATGTTGGAAAGTTCAAGGGGGCCGAATACTTTCGCAAGGCGTTGTATATTGCTTTTTTAAACAGACCAAGGTCACCCAAAGCGCTCTACAATGTTTAGTGTAGTTAGTAGCTTACCATCTCTGTGTGCCGAGTAAAGGATTGTTCACTCGCTTGGTTGGCAATATCACAATAAACGTTTTTATTATTATTTAGTCCATCTTTATGGGAAATCAGTAATTAAGAGTTCCCATAAAGATGGACTACAAAATCATAAAAATGTTTATTGTGATACTGCCAACCAAGTATCAAGCTCTGTGTCTATTTGGTTAAAGTGTTTTATAATAACTCTATTTAGTGTAATTATCTTCTAATTGTGCACTTGTGGATGAATATTCAGTAGCACAAGCAGTTGAAATATATATTTTTGTCTGAAAACCTTAGCATTTAGAATCTAATATCTTATCCACTACAAATACATGTTGACTCGGTTTAATATACCAATTGTGTTTCAAGAAATATCATTTTGATTTATGCACGCTAACTACATTATAGGGCTTAGAAATGTAATTAACAGTAACTTCCTGTGTGTATTTGGTATGCCTTCGTTCCCGTCGAAGACAAAACGTGGGATATTAAATGCGTATTAGGAGCATTACTATTTTATGATAGGAACACAGCTTAAGGAGTGACATTTATTATTTAGTGCTCCTTTTGTTTTCACTTTTGATTCTGCATGGAGTATAATATTAAAGGCTGCTTCTCAGAATGTTCTTAATGGAACAGTTTAAAACAATCAGACAAATGCATTTCAATGTGTATTATAAAGCGACGTGATATAACTTAATACATTTGCTCCTCTTAATTCTTTCTCTTCTTTTTCTTTTGCACAATGTTTAGGTTATGCAAGTCCCTGAGATGTACAAAGTGCCAACTTGAATTCAAGGTAAGAGAAATGTAATTGACTATAGAAGCTTTAAAAGGCTCTTAATGACCTTTTCCTCTTCATTACTGTCTGTTGCTTTTATAATGAATGCTATATAAGGTGACAGTGGAAAGTATTTTAAAATAATTTCATGGATTACCATAGTTCTTTCTCAGATTTCTGTCCTTGCTTCTGTACACTGGTTATTTAGTGGAGGGTGAGGCTGAGGCAGATTTGCCATTAGGTTGTGCGTAGTCGTGTTCAGTTGAGGTCATCAAGACAGATTGACCACACATTGGAAGAACAACAAGAAAAAGAAGTAGGAAAATATGAAACATGGGTGACAGAAGGACGGCAGCTTTCAGGTCATGGTGGTCAGCGAGGAACTGTGCAGATAAGCCAGTGTTCCATTGTTTAATACAGCATCCTCCTACTAATATTACAATACAAATCTATAAGGTGACCTTAAGCAGAACAGAAAATATCTGACCACCTGTTCCAAAGATGTCTAAGTTAAAAGGTTAGGTGGAAATATATAACATACAATGCGTTCAATGTGCAAAGTTTCTCTTGCAGATATTAAGATATTTTACTGAAGATAAAACAAACTTTATTCTTTAACTTTCTTTAATAAGACAACATTCTAAATGGTGGTAGTTGTCAGGTTGAAAACAGCAGTTCATAACACATGGCACTCACACTACCACACTTCCTGAAGTCTTTTGTCACTTGCTGCAGTAAATGCCCTGCGCAGGACAAGGGCAGGACAGTGGCCTTATGGGAAAATGGGAAATGTGCTATCATCAGGCTAACAGGGCACCGCAGTCCACTAATCAGATCAGGAAGCGGTGTGTGTGTCTCCGCGACAGATAACAAGTGTGTAATGCGAGGTGGGTCCAGCAGCACTAATGGCTGCTCTGGTTGGGTCCTGCTCTGGACACTTGTGCAGAGAGTGGCTGAGTGAAGGGCTTTTCCGGGCCGCGGTGAGCTGTCGTACGAGCATGAGTCAGCTGGACATAGATGAGGGTAAATATTTAGCTCTGCATAGGAAACGTGGATTTCCCCTCCCTCCCTCAGAAACAATAATTCCCTCCTTCTCCTGCGCTCTGTGTTGGCGTCTCAGAATAGCTGTAATTATCACACTTCCCTGCATTCATTGAGGACCTCATTGTGCGGACTATGGGTCCACTGCAGAGAAAGAGAAACATTGTGCTGTTATCTGTCCTGCAAACTACTATGTGCGCAAGAACATGCACATTGTCTTTTATCTCAAGGATGAAGGCTCATCTCTGTGGCATTAGGATTTTATTGTTTGTTCATATTCAGTTTTTTTATCTAACATCTTAGGGATGAAAAGAATTAGGTAGTCAATAATTGGGTCGTCTATTTGGAGGATTTATATTTTTTGTTTGAATGGAAAATAATCTTTACTTTTTTATCCTTTGCTTTATTTTACTTATTTTGATCAAGTTGTTAAACTGTATGCAAACATTTGTTGTTGTTGCTTAAACCAACATGATTTATACATAGCATCTTCCAGCAGTTATGAACTTGAACAAGGAATTGTAATATTTTAGTCCAGGAAAATTGAAGATTTTGTTTTCACAATAACCTAAAAAGTTAAACCATGAGATCCATAATTCCTCTTATTATGTAAACAATATTGAATTATTATTACGCTTGTCTAAAGAATATTGTACAGATTGCACTACGCATTTGGAGGAAAAAGTAATTTAATGTGCAACATTTTAAAACAAGAATCAATTGCCAAAAATTAAAAAACAGAAATAAATATTTTCCCCACTCCAGTTGCAAAACCTCTGTATTGGGAAAATAGGACACATCTTTCAGCCAGGGCAGTTCTGACCAAGGCAGGGTGAAGACTTGGAGATTGGTCCTGGGAACTTAACAATACCATAGTTATTAAACCCTTGAATTAATTAATTAAGAAGGGAAACACATTTTCAGCCAAAAGCACGTTGATCATTCTTTCTCATTTTGAGCCGTCCTGATGCGCCCGAACCAATCAGCGGGCCACGGTGACGATACTATGTGTGACAGTATGAGTGCGAGAACAGGGGACCAGTGTATGAAGAGCTGTCACTCACTCCCTGCCTCAATCTCCATATCCCAGAGACTCACACACACAGACGGAGACATTACCCTCTAAAGATACTCTCTTCTGACAAGCTGATAAATCAACATTATAGATATATACAGTGCACATGCATAGGCACTTCACCCCGCGAGAAAAATATCATCTTATTTACGATAACCTGACATCTCTGTGTGGCAAAAACGCTATTAGATTCTTGATGACAAATAAAGAGCTTGAGGAGGCAGAGAGGTTGAGAATGACAGAGATGTTTGGGAAGGGGCTTTTCTAAGGAAGCTGCATTTTTAGTATGCATGTTGATCCTGTTAGGAGGAAATGCAATAACAGATACGTAGGTCCGCTGCACTGGAAAAAAGACCGGCCTTACTCTCTCTGACTACCTTCTATTTATCATTCACACATAGACTGTCGCTGAGTGGAATATATTGCTTTAAAAAGTGGCGGTGGTAATAGCATTGATCTAATTTCCATAAATTTTCATCTGGAATCTGATATTTTCTTCATCGGTGAACAACATAAACTATTTAAAAGAGAATGCTGGTGTGGCAAACTTTCCCTCCCATACTTAAATTTGTTTTTGGATATTTCCTTGTGATGGATTTTACCGGAACCAGCGTAGGAGGGCTTCATATTAGAGGCTGAAGAAATGCATACACGCATTAAAGTCTTTTTTGGCCATAACTTCACCAATTTTTAAAGGTATATATTTCTTTCTTTTACATGTTTTGTTTGTTTCTTAAAATGGTGTGTGCCACATTCACACTTGTTTTGTTCATGAGTTCTTGACATCTGAATATAAAGTTTCTGAGGGCGCCCAGGCTCTGCTCTCTTTGACATAATCAGACTGTCTCAGCTGTGAACTTGTTCTATGCTGGGCCTTTTGAACCCTTGTTGGTTGTTTTGTTAGTTTGAAATGCTGTATTGTGTTGTGAATCTGAATATTTTTTTACAGATACGACAAAAGATACAAACCCACACACACATGTTCCGGACAGTAATTACATAAATGTGTTTGCAGTTTATTTTAGTTTGATTATTTTTAATTATTTTAGCAACATAAAAAAACAGTATGTTCAATATATAACATGAAATCATAGAAGGCGATTACTCAAACGGAGCAGGATAAATGCAGACCACTCCTTCACATAATCTCTGCAGTTCCACACAAAACTCACATTTGGTAACGGATTGTAAGAGTAGATTTACACAAACATTATCGTTTATGTTGTTTAAACAGAAAGTAATGGAAAATGAAACTGAATATTTTGTTTACGTTACAATTTAGGTAATTGGGTAATGAAGAGAATATTCATCTATATATTAGATAAATATTTATTGAAATGGCATGTCGACAGGGCGACAGTAGCTCAGTTGGTAGAGCATTGGCCTTAAGGCCAGAAGGTCGTGGGTTCACTTCCCACCTCTGCACCTTCTCCACCGACTCCCACTGATGACTGCTGTCGTTGTGTCCTTGGGCAAGACACTTAACCCCACTTTGCCCAAAGCCCCCACTGAAAGATCAAGGCTATGCTCACACTCAGAGCAGCCGTCCTCCTGTGGACTCACCACCTGCAGAGGGTCAGTGAGGGGCTGGTGCTGTGAGACTTGGGTGGCATCGCTGATTGCCACCCCCCTGACCCAGAAATGGATTAAAGGGTAGAAAATGGATGGATGGCATGTCGACCCGGGAAAACAGTGGGAAAGGTTGGAGTGTTGTTTGGACCCATGTCGGCTGTACATGTACCTGCAGGTTTAGCTTGATTTCCCGGTTCCGCGACTTGTTGATCAGATCTCTCTTCACGTCCCTCTCATTGTCTCTCGGATTTCCTGGGTGCATTGGGATCTTCTCCTGAGCCTCTTCTTGCAGTTTGCCACATTTCTTTCAAAGCTCTTCCAGTTTTTTGAGATTTCCCAATGTAACTTCCAATTGAGCATTCTCCTCAAGCAGCATTGTACTTTCTGTCTCCTTCTTTAGTACTTGTTGTTAGTTGTAGCCAGAGAGATTGTCTTTCAAAATACCTCTCTTGGTCTTGCCATAGTTCCTCAAACTCATGGAGTAGTGATGTATTCTATTCTCTCACTTGGCTCAGTTCAGCCTCCACTTCCTGCATTACTTTGGCTTGTCGGTTGAGTTGGATCGCATGAGCACAGATTATACGCTTTGCTCGCTTGAGCTAATTCAACTTCACCTCCTCAAACTCTTTCTTAGACTGTTCGGCGCTCAGTTCATGCTCATCTTGTAGAACGACAATCACCTTGTCTTTGACTTTATGAGCTCTTGACTTCTGCTTGTCTGTCGCTCTGAGCCTCTTCAGCTCTTCCACCTCTTTTAGCAGACGGTCCTCTCTAGTTTTGGCCTGTGAAGCTTTGGCCGCCATATCCAGCTTCAGCGTAATAAGTGCCATCCCCATCTTGCAAACAGCAGAGATGAAATCCTGTGGTCTACGAACCGAACCCCCTCCGGCCCCTGGCTGCGCCTAGAAATTCTGTCCATAAAGACAGTGAACAGAACCGATGACAAAGGGTTGGTGGAGGCCAACATGCACCGGGAACAGGTCTGACTCACTGCCGGCGATGCGAACACAGCTCTTACTCCGGTCATACAGGGACCGGACGGCCCTCAGCAGAGGACCCCGGACCCTGTATTCCCGGAGCACCCCCCAAAGGACACCCAGGGGGAAAACGGTCGAACGCCTTCTCCAAATCCACAAAGCACATGTGGACAGGTTGGGCGAACTCCCATGAACCCTCGAGTATCCGATGGAGAGTATAGAGCTGGTCCAGTGTTCCACGGCCGGAATGAAAACCGCACTGGTCCTCCTGAATCCGAGATTCGACCATCGGTCGAACTCTCCTCTCCAGGACCTTGGAGTAGACCTTACTGGACATGCAAAATACAGATTACAAAAGTATCAAAATATTACCAAAACATTACCATAAAATGTGCCTATAAAAAACAATCCTACAAAAAAATATGAAAGCCACATATATAAGACACAAAACCAAGGGAGAAAATATGCACAAACATAACAAGTCTGGTGAAAAATAAAAAAGTCACAATTATTCTTTGGCAAAAGGGTTCCCCGTATGTTTTCTTTCTTAATTATGATCTACAAAAAACAACAAGCGAACTACTGGTCTACCCACTATAGTCTAATCTATTTTTGACCTAGGTGTTCTGTTAATGCGTAAATTCTCACTACTTCATCTGTAGTTTTACAACATGTTTTCACAATCCCTCAGGTGATGTTAAACATACAGTGCTACCCACCACCGTTTCTATTTTGTTCATATGAAACAAAATCGTTTTATAGTAATTTGAAGTTAGCATGTCATAATTAATTATCTGCACAATGTGAAATTCAAATAAACTGTTTTGTGCCAAGGATTACAGGTTCAATACATTTTTTAAGTATTTATTTTGCTCAATACATGAGTTTTACCTGTAAAGCACACCCTCATAATACTGATTACAAACTCAGATGTCTGTGGTGTCTGTGTTAAGGGTAGGTAAAATTGCACTTGGACACAGCACCCTCGTTGACGGGCACGGGAGGAGTGAGAGCAGCCTCCAGAAGGTTGGCCCTGTCCCTGCCTCATTAGGGAGCAGTGAATTACACTGTGCACACGTCTTTATGTAGACTAATCATATTACAGCTAACGTGCTCAGCTTCACCTGGGGCTGACAAGGGGAGGGGGCGGAAAACTTTACGGTCTAATTTGTCCCGTAGACCTCAATGTAATCCAGCACCTCTGACTGACACCATTTTATCTTTCTGTCCATCTATCTGCCAATGAACATCATGGAGCTCCTCCCTGTTCCCCTTGTTCATCTGCTCTGCTTGGCTGGTTGTTTGCTCTGCCCCCCTCCCTCACACACCTTTACCCTCCCACTCTCCCTGAGCCCAGTGAATCCCTGCCCCCAGCTTGTCAGTTCTGACAAGCTGCTTTAATGGGCGATGTGGCGCGTGCCTCTGACCACTGAGCACAGTCATTAACCTTCACTGGCATAATTGAATTCAAGGTTGATTGCTGGTGACCCTCCCCCCTGCCGAGGTCCCTCTCAATGTACATATTCATTACAGGGCCCGGGCTCTAAATGGATTGCACAGGGAAAGCTGTAGCAATCATTCGGGCCGCGTGGCGGGGGCAGCGGCGCACTGCTTGGAGGCCACGAGGGGACCGGGACAGAGCGACAAGAGCAGAGGGAAGAGGAGGGGCACTAATTGCATGCTAGAGAAAGAGGATTGGATTATGAAAAGAGTGAGAGAATGAAGATGGATCCATGTGACACTGTCAAATTAAGGGCAAGTCTTGTTCGGCAACGAGACACTGAAATGTACAGTTCCGCTGCAGCAGGAGGGAAGGGGATAGGATGGACGGACAGACTCAGATATGAGGCCTGAGATGAGAGGGGCCATTGAGGCGAGAGAGAATTGAATGTAAAAGAATCGAGTAATATAGACACACATCCCAGTGTTGGTGTGGTTTCAGCGTGAAGGGGCATATATCACCCCAGCCAGGGCAGCAGCTCTTAAACTCTCCCCTCCCTAATAGCTGTCAGATTGCTATCAGCCAAACAAGACATCCTGCCTTACCTACGGTTCTGCTCTTTTCCGGTCATACTGTAGCTATTTCCATTGCACAAATTCATACACAAAAACTCTTTGGCACAACATATTCATAATTATACTTTAAGGTAGATATTAACAAGTCCTTAAATATTTGGACTGTGACTCTTTGAATCTTTTACACTCACACAATGCATTTTGAATAAAATCATGTGCAGACTTTAAGATCTTTAAGCAAAGGATATTTATATCCAAATCAGTGGATTTGGATATAAATACTGCTGTAGGAATTGCAGTAGTAAAAAACTGTTAAAAATGAATTTGCTGTCGAGCCTGAAGGAAGCCATATATATCACCAGTTGCAGGGATTTATCTCAGGCCTCCATTGTAATGGTGTTCAGTTTCTTTGGTATTTTCCTTTCAAGTTTTTTGTCAGCAAGTGAATGGCGTGCTCAGTCAGATTCATGGTAAGGTGAAATTGGCCATTGCATAGTGTTCCAATTTAATTACTGATGCATTATGCCTCGTGTCATGGTCTGTAGGCTCAATTCAATGAGATGTGAAAAATGTTGTTAGTCATCTCATCATTGATATATACAAGGGAGCCCGTTCCAATGGCAGCAATACATAACCACGCCACCTTTTAGATTAATTTAAATTTTGGATCATGTACAAATTATTCCAATTGCTCTGGTGCAAGCTTTTTAGAGCTTGTTTGCCAAGCCATACCCTGTTCTTTCTGTACCTCTTCCAGTGAAGACTATGCAATATAGTGTCCTTGAGTTATCCAACTGTTGTGACTTTCTTCGCCCAGGAAAGTATTATTCTGTCACTAGTCTTGGGTGAGTTACTCTAAAATAGTAATATTAAGTTAGTTTATTTGTGTAGTAATGTAATATACAGTCCTGTTAAAGTTTATTTGGCACAGATTGTATTATATATTTCATATTAAAACAACCCATTTTTAATCCTGTGAAGAATGCATCACCATTTTAGGTTGCACTAACAAATATATGTCTTCATAAAGACAATAAATTACTAAAGGATGGATTAATTTCAAAAGTATGATTGAGATGGTCATATTACTCATTATTCAGAAATGTTCTTCTCTATCATACACATTGTAGAATGACAATTTCACACATGACATGGGTTATCTGCTGATCTTCCAAAGCATGGTGAGCTCGGTGAACTCAACCAAACATGCAACACTCTGCTCCAGCTACCACCAGCTGCTTCCCTTTGTGATTGGTCAACTACACAATCCATCAATGTATGACGTGTTCTCTATGTTCCTGACTACAAAACAGATCAGGCAAAAATATCTTATATACATATTTCAGTTTGCAGAAAGATACTCTTTACGCTTTAAGTAGATTGCAAATATTTGACTTTTTCCACTAAGATAAGGAAATATGACAAAAGGCTATGTGCTTTGTGTTTAACAATATAAGCTGGCAGTCTGTGATTACAACACATTTTGTGAAAGTCTGATTCAGAGTTTGCCCTCAGGATGGCCTCTTGCTCTGCTCCAGGGGTCTGTCCGGAAACCTGGCTGCCCATACAGACAGACAATGGTCCACTGAGAGCCATCCACCTGTCATTGCTGTGTACTGTTCCAGTGTGGTGTATGCGTAGTGTGTGGAGCTTTTATCCCCCTCATCATCACTAACAGGGTTTCCCAGGCTCTGGCCACAGAGTGTGGGTCACAGGGCAGGAATCAAACAGCAGAACAATGGAGCGCTTCCTCCACTTAACCTCCTAATGGGCTCTCAATGGCTCCCCTGACTCTTTCCAAACTATCAGCCACTGGATTCACTTACCTCACTGCACCAGGCTGTGTGTGGGGGGTCTGAGTGGAGTGGTGCCGACATGGCACACTGCAGAGCCAGCTTGCCTCTGTGTGGAGGTGTCAGACACAAAGTGTGTTTAATATAAAGCAGGCCATCAATGGAAGGCTGAAACTCTCAGTCTCAAAGCCTCCACACAGGTGTCATGTGAACTATGGCGTCTCCATTGACCAACCTCAGTATTTACAAAAAGATGTACATTTGTTGCTGCCTGTTACACTTGAATCATCACTTTTAGCATGTGCTTCATCTTTGAGCACAGTGCAACCCCCAAATCTGCAAAGACAAGTGGCCTCATTTATTTCCATGGAGGGAAATAATTTAACAGCACTGAGCACTAACGAGCTAGAGCGGAGGGATTCCTAATTAGATTCACTTTGTTTGTGTCATTTTAATTACGTTGTGGTCCCCAGCAGTGGAGCCACCAGTGATCTCTGAGTCTCTTAACTGTGCAGCACAGTTTAACACTGAGTCCCAGCAGAGATTTAGAAAACCAACAAAATGCTCTGTCTCTATCAACCAAAGCTCAGGCAGACTGGGCTTTCTGTTCAGTTGTTGATTCGGAGCGTGTTTGGCGACAGTGTCACTTTAATCTCTGAACGCAGCCACAAAGGTCACTGTCGTGTGATGCAAACAAATAAAGCTTAGTAAACTTTTTTGGTGATGAATCATTATTTATTGCTGTAAATGAAAGGCCTTGGAGACAGCTTTTCTGCCTGTGTAGTCCTAAGCGGAGTGTTTATGTTCCCTGTTTGAAGGGAAAGCTTCACTAAACCAAACCACTTTGAGGTTTCCTTTGAACTATTCCCCCAAGACACACACACTAATTATTTCGTGTTTCATGATGAATTCTGCTCAGTTCATTAGACGGCTTTAACTGATGTTACTGTCTTAGATCCTGGCTGCCTCAGTGCACACTCGCAGCCATTTAGGTAATTGAGTGATTAATTGATACCT